CTGAGCTTTTATGTAATCACCTCAAAAATCTGGAGATGCCTAGAAAAACTAAATGAGTTAGGTGAGGAAAATATAGTTACTTTCACTTGGGCCCGGGACATAACAGGATACAGTGTACCGGTACAGTGTACCCAGCTAGCAAGGGACGTCGTTTCACATCATAATCACGTCGAATTTTGGTCAAATACATCGATGTGAATTTTTGACGCAAAAGTAACTTAATAATGACGTCATTTTCGGACCTAAACACAGTAATTGCGATCAAAATAAACCTATTTATATCATTAATGCACTGCGAGTTTTTTATTATTCATTATGAAATAAATAGAAGGTAATTCATACAACATAATTTGTTTAGCAGTCATTGTGACATCACAATAAGACGTACTATTACGTCATTTAGGGACCAGTTTGTTACGTTCCGAAATGAGGCGTTAAACTGCGCACGTACAAGCCCCTTCCCATTTCAGTTGGCCCACGTATTAATATTTTCTTTATATAACGACAATAAGAAAGTATTAAAGATCACATGCTTTTTTATATCATAAATTAATTAACAATGCATCAATTTTTTTATTTATTTTTAAATTTATTAACACATGGAGCATAATTGCATTATTTCAACTTGAATTCAATTCGTTAGAAAATAAACCAAAATCGAAGGTAGCTTTGAAAAAATAACAAACAATAATGCAAATAACTGTAACAAGACAATTTAACCTCTTTTAAGCTAATTCTGTCTATTAAAATGGATAGAGCAAAAATCATTGACGAAAAAATACGTTTTCTTGTTATAAAACATTGCAATTCTGGAAAATCGAACTCGGAAATTGCAAATATATTAGATTTATCACGATATAGTGTAAGAAATATAGTTAGAAGATACAAAACTACTGGTTCAATCAGCCCAAAGCCCCGTCATGTTAGAAAAAGCAAGATTACAAATGCCGATAGACGAGCATTGAGAAGAATTATTGAAACCAACCGTCGTGCTAATTACCTTGAATTAAGTACTCAGTGGAGTAATGCTGTTGGAAGACGAATTTCGAGATATTCATGTCATAGAGAAGCTTGTAAACTGGGATTTGGGATTTACAAAGTAAGTTTATAATAAAAAAAAACATGAATTGAAGACACTAAAACAATCAAATATGTTTGCTTAAAATTGATAATATTGTTACAGGTTAAAGAAAAACCACTACTAATTGCGAAACAGAAAAAAAATCGATTAAGATGGGCAAAAGAACATATGAGTTGGACTTCTCATCAATGGGATGCAATCAATACAATGGAGTGACGAGGCCCGATTCGAAGTTTGTGTTGGAGATAGCAGAAGTCGAGTTATTCGCAAAAAACATGAAGCGTTCCATCCAAACTGTCTCAAAAGAAAAGTAAAATGTCCCGCATCGATCATGGTCGAGTAATGCTGTTGGAAGATGAATTTCGAGATCTTCATGTCATAGAGAAGCTCGTAAACTGGGATTTGGGACTTACAAAGTAAGTTTATAATAAAAAAAAAACATGAATTGAAGACACTAAAACAATCAAATATGTTTGCTTAAAATTGATAATATTGTTACAGGTTAAAGAAAAACCACTACTAATTGCGAAACAGAAAAAAATCGATTAAGATGGGCAAAAGAACATATGAGTTGGACTTCTCATCAACGGGATGCAATCAATACAATGGAGTGACGAGGCACGATTCGAAGTTTGTGTTGGAGATAGCAGAAGTCGAGTTATTCGCAAAAAACATGAAGCGTTCCATCCAAACTGTCTCAAAAGAAAAGTAAAATTTCTTCCCGCATCGGTCATGGTCTGGGGCAGCATGTCATCTAAAGGAATAGGGAAATTGCATTTTATTGAAGGAATTGTAAATACAAATAAATATTTGGACATTTTGGAGGAATCACTTTTACCGACTATGGAATTATATTTGACATCAGGGAAAGATTTTGTATTTCAACAAGATGGAGCAGGGTGCCACACGTCAAAAAAAGCTCTAAAATGGATAGAAGACTTCGGTGTTCCACTTTTGGAATGGGTTTCTAGTAGTCCTGATTTATCACCGATAGAAACTGTGGCATGAGATGAAAAAGGTACTTCGAAAACATCCTGCAAGAACAATACATGAACTTAAACAAAAACTTTAAGATATATGGGACTTGTTTACACCAGAATTTTGCCAAGGCTTAGTTAATACCATGCCGCAAAGAATTTCAGCTCTAATAAAAAATAAAGGTGACGTTACTCAATGGTAAACTTTAAAATTGATTAACGTTTGATTCCAACTATTTGTTTATTTTTTTTTTAATTTTATGTTAAATAAATATTTTAATGTTTTCTACATATTTTTTGTGATAAAACGATATTAAACATATTGTTCAACGAATAAAAATTGGAAAGTTCATGCAATATTTATATTTTTAATCTCTAAATATGAATTTCCTAAATTTCAATAGGTGGGCCAACTGAAATGGGAAGGGGCTCGTATACACGTCGATTCTATACCTCCAGTGTTTTATTTATCTTTAGTGTGTACATTGATTTATGATTCTCATTTTAAATCTAGGAATTTTTGAGAATTTTCCTTTTCATATGAAATTTTATGTTGTTGACACTGTTTGGAAATGTCAGATGTCATGTCATTGTCCAAGCTTCGCCGTTCATGTTTTTCTTTGCACTTTTTGGAACATTCCCCATAACTAACATTTTATCGTTTGATCTTGCAAGTTTTTTGAAGGTAAGTAGTTAAAAAGTTTAGTGCGATTATTATTGTTTATTTTTAGTATGTTTATAGGAATTTAATACGCTGTCAAGCACGGCAGCGGAATATCATTAATCTATGGCTGACATCCCGAAAGCAGGAGCTTCTTATAAACACAATAGATCTTTTAGATCACAGTGCATTAGTACCCCATACCCAATATAATATAACATACACAATATTTGTAATATACAGTGTGTCCGTAAGGTATGGAACAAATTCATATTTAACTAAACAGACCATTTTAAGAAATAATCCTGAAACACGTCAATTTTTGATTTTAATTTATCGTATTTTAAAATAATAATCTAATATACAGGGTGAATTACTTTCGAGTAATGACGTCACCGTCATTTTTTTAAATGGAACACCCCCATTTTGTCTCAATTTTCGGATTACTCTAGCTGAGCTGATTCCAAAAATGTATCACATGTTGATGCCAATTGGTACAGGGTGGGCGAAAATACAATAGTTTTGTGTGTGCTCATAAAGTAACGCGTAACATTCTTTATTAGTTAAATTAACAATATTATCAAAAATACTTATTGTCTAGCGGACAGAATATGATGAAATACATGACTTTATAAATGTTGGAACTGCAGCCCTTGCTGTATTTGACAGTAACCCAAACAGTGTACAAATTCTTGTTGAACCTTGTTTATTGTGTCTTGAGAAATATTGTTTATTGTTGTCCGAATTCTCTTTTAATTCTTGAATATTTGCTGGTTTCGTTTGATACACAACATTCTTCAGATGGCCCCACATAAAATAATCCAAAGGATTGAAATCTGGTGACCTCGCTGGCCATTCGATAGTTCCACGTCTACCAATCCACCTATTCGGAAAAAATTCATCTAGGTACCTTCTAACATCTACAGCATAATGTGGAGGTGCACCATCCTGTTGAAACCATAAACTTTCATCACAACCTCCAGGATTACGTCTGCTGGGAAACAAATTACGTAAAGTAGGTACGAGATACCCCCTTAAAAACTCAAGGTACGTTGCCCCGTTTAAATTACCTTCGATAAAGTAGGGTTCGATGATTCGATTTCTTACAATTCCAGTCCATACATTTACCTTTTGCAGGTATTGTGTATGATGCTCACGCATCCAGTGGGGGTTTTCTTTTGTCCAGTATCTATAATTCTGACGGTTAACCTCGCCATTTAACGTGAAAGTTGTCTCATCAGAAAAAATATTGTTTTGTATCAAGAGAGGGTCTCGGTGACATTTATCCATCATTTTTTCGCAAAATTGGATTCTTCTATCGGGATCATCTTCGTTTAATTCCTGCACAAGTTTGATTTTATAAGGATGCCATTTTTCAAGCTTTAATAGTTTGTGTACCGTTGTTTTGCTAACACCGATATCGCGACTAACTTTACGCACAGAAGTGTGCGCGTCTTCTTCAAAACTAAGTAAAACATCTAATGCTGTATCAGCATTTGCAGAGGGACGACCTGATTTGCGTACATTTTCAACCGTACCAGTTTCTCGAAATTTCTTTTCAATCTTACTGACTGTTGAACGCGTTATAGGTCTTTCTGGATATTTATCATTAAACAAATTGCACACTTCCATCTGAGTTCGCGATCTGTCTCCATACCCAATCATCATAAGTATTTCAATTTTTTGTTTTACACTTAACTCCATTTCTAATTCAAATTAAATCTAAGCAATAATTAAAACATTCACGAATACCAAAAATATTGTAGTACTAAACTGTCACTGAACATCAATAAATTACTAAACAAATAATGACATTTCACAAAAAACTAGACGACTATGTTTTTTCAAAATTGATAAGAAATAATTTCTTTCATATTCTGTCTGCTAGACCACAAGTCCACCCTGTACCAATTGGAATCAACATGTGATACATTTTTGGAATCAGCTTAGCTAGAGTAATCCGAAAATTGAGACAAAATGGGGGTGTTCCATTTAAAAAAAAATGACGGTGACATCATTACTCGAAAGTAATTCACCCTGTATATTAGATTATTATTTTAAAATACGGTAAATTAAAATCAAAAATCGACGTGTCATACTTTACGGACACACTGTATTTAAATAAAGGGTGTCTGAATTTTTAAATAAATCTGAATTCACTTTGAAGGCTCAAAAATAGTTTTCAGTATTTCATAGGGGTAATTCTGAAAAATTTCTTTGAAGATTCCCAAAGAAATTATTCAACAAACATAAGCCTATAAATAGAAAATAAAAAACTTACGGCTCTAAACAGACAAGAATGATCATCTGTATCAACAATGTTTGGATCGGCTCCACACTTTAATAATGTATGAACACATTTGAGATTGTTTCCAGAGACAGCTAACATTAACGCAGTCCGATGTTGTCTGCAAATAAAAACATACATACAATATACACATATGGATTTATGATAATGTATGAAATTTCAGATTGTTATAGCAATTATTTTTCAAATTAGATATCACACTTTACAATAGGTAATTTTTTTTATCTGGCTGTAGGGTGCTAAAATCAAAAGTATCGCAATGAACAATCATATTGGTTAATTCCCATAAAATTATCTTTTTAATGATGTGTCAAAATTTGATACTTTTTCTGTTTAAAATGTATTGGTTCATGGCTGTATATATATATATATATATATATATATATATATATATATATATATATATATATATATAGATATAGACGGTCATGATTGGTTAAAGCGTTGTCTGGATAAAAGGAGAATGACATGACAACTGAAAAGGCGTCCGCCTTGGAATAGACCTGTTTTTATTAAAAAAAATCTAATAGAAAATGATATTAAACAAAAAGAAAATGAAGAACTTATTTTTTTTTTCCAAATATCTAGTGACCTATAATTTTTTCGAAATATAAAAGTTTTATAAAAGTCCCGTAAAAATACTGCGTTACACATTGATACTTATAAAAAAATATATTGGCCTATGTCGATATTTACGAATCACCCTGTATAAATGGAACCTAATATATTTTATAATATCACCAGACATGATAAATATAGCAATAATTTATTTTTAGTAAATACTTTCATCTTCTAGAACAGTGGTCGCCAACCTGTCGATCGCGAGCTACCGGTAGCTCGCGGAGGCAATTCTGGTAGCTCTCACAACGATTTTAATTTAAAAAATACAAACTGCAAAAATCAGAGAAGCTTCCGAAAATTCCACAAAAAAATCTAATTGTCATAATATTAAACATAAACAGCGGCAACGTTGCGGTGAGCGATCTGCCGCTGACGCCATCAAGCTAGAATCGGCTAGAACCGACCAGCCGGACCAGCGCGTTAGTGTTCGAGAACGATCAGGATTGCTTTGAACGGGATAAAAACGCACGGCGCGGCGACATTGCGCTTAGTTTAAAACTGAACGCGTAACCAACGTCCAGCAGCGGTTGGGTTAGTAGAGAACAACAAAAAATAATATTATGGCAAGCAGTTGTAAGAAGGTAAAGACATACCACTTTCATTCGGAATGGGAAGAACAATACTTGTTTACAGAAGTTAAAGATAAAAATGTGTGTTTGTTATGTAATACTTCGGTCTCCGTTGCTAAAAAAGGAAATATTGAGAGACATTATAAAACTGTACATTCTAATTTTGAAAAATCATTCCCACTACTTTCTGCCGCCAGAAAGGAGAAACTGAAACAGTTAAAAAAGCAGTTAATTGGATAACAATCAATATTTTTAAGAACAGTTGACAAAAATAAAGCTGCAACTGAAGCATCGTACCGTGTGTCCCAGATAATTGCACAAAAAAAGAAACCTTATGAAGACGGGGAAATGATAAAACAGGCGTTTTTAGAAGCTGCTGATTCGTTATTTGCCAACTTTAGAAATAAAGACGAGATAGTTTCAGCTATAACATCTATGCAACTTTCTGCTAATACAGTGATGAGACGTGTAGAAGTAATGAGCAATGATATTTTTTTACAGTTAAGAACTGACTTAGATAACTGTTTATTTTTCTCTTCAACTGGATGAATCAACAGATGTCATTGACACTGCCCAGATGGCCGTGTTCGTCAGGATGTATTTTAGGGATTTTACGATTAAAGAAGATCTTTTGAAGTTTATTCCACTGAAAGGACACACTACTGGACAGGAGTTGTTTTCTCATTTAAAAAATATTATTTCTTCCGAGAAAATTCCAATATCGAAAATGGTAGGCTTGACAACCGATGGCGCTCCAGCTATGGTGGGTTGTGATAAGGGTCTGGTGGCGTTATGTCGTAAAGATGAAACTTTTCCGCAATTTCTCTATTACCACTGCATTATCCATCAGCAAGCATTATGTGGAAATTTCCTGAAACTAAACAACGTTATGAAACTGGTGGTAAAAATTGTGAACAAAATTAGAGCTCAAGCGTTACAAAGAAGATTATTCAAAACCTTGGCCGATGAAGTTGACTGTCAATACGAGGACCTACTCCTTCACTCTGAAGTCCGATGGTTAAGTAGAGGACGGGTGCTGAAACGTTTTAATGATGTCCTATCTGGCATAGTTCAATTTTTCAAACAACGCGATGAACCGACTCCGGAACTAGAAAATTCAATCTGGCTTAGAGATTTTGGTTTTCTTGTGGACATTACAGAGAAATTAAACGAACTTAATTTGCAGCTTCAGGGGAGAGACAAAGAACTAGCGGAAATGATTTCTGATATAAAAGCATTTATCAAAAAGCTGGAGTTTTGGGAACAAAACCTAATTAACAGCGATGCCAAGCATTCTCCTATTCTTTCAGAAAAAATATCTCAAAATCCATTAGAACCCTATGACAGCAAATATCATGTAGAAATAGTTTCTACCCTGAAGAATAACTTCAAAAATCGTTTTAAGGATTTCAACGAAATGGCTTTAGTAGCGCAGTTTGTTGTTTCACCCTTTATGGAAATTGATATCCAACAGTTTGCAACTTGTGTTATGCAGAACATTGGCGAAGACATCGCTGCAACAGAAATGGAAGTAATTGAGTTTCAAAATGATTTAGCCTTAAAATCGTCAGTCTCAAGTACCAAATGTATCTGGCCTATTGTCAGTAAAGACAAATATTCAGTTCTATGCCGTGTTGCCTTGAAAGTGAAAGCATTATTCAGTTCAACCTATTTGTGTGAATCTTCTTTTTCCAATATGAAGTTTATTAAGAACAAATATCGCAATCGACTTACAGATGAACATTTGGATAATTGTATTCGAATGGCTGTATCAAATTATACTGCAAACATTAAAAAAATTATCGATGAGTCTGAGTGTCAGCCTTCTCATTGAACGTGCTTTTTTATTTTTCAATGTTTATGTTCATGATAGTGCGTTACTTTTTTGTTATTATTAACTATTGTTCAATTTATAATATTGAACTATTAATAATAATATTTTATAGTTTTTGACAGTTCCTTGCTGGTACTTCTTTTGTAATATATGTAACGCAAAAAATTGCCTATGGCTTTATGACATATTGTCACTTGTAAAGTCATCGCGCAGTTGGCGCTCAACCACTGCCAAGATTGCGTCTGTATCTTTCTGTGAAGGAAGGTGGTCCCTTCAGGAATCATCTCACCCTTGTAAAATCCATGTAAAATCAATGTACTTTGAAATGTTTAATATCTACTGTGTTAATCTGAAGTGTAATGTTTAACTGTTTTCAAATGAAGTGAAATTAACCAAATTTGTGTTTTCTTTTATAATTCCACCAGCGCAGGAAATACAGTTGTGCTCCAAAAAAAGGTTTTGGGGCCTCTTTAAGTTGTAATCATTACAACTATTTTTAAATCTTACGTGACATGCCGTTGTGGCTGGATAAAAGTTTGTGTTTATTTTTCAAACACCTTCGTTTGGCAGGTAGGAATGTAGCTATGAACAAGTACGTACTAGTAATATTAGTTATTTTGTTATTAGTACCTATGTATTAGCAGTTAAATAGTAAAATAAATACATATAATGATAATTTAACTGTGGATTATTTCATTTACGTTGCGTTAGGTGGCTTCCGTGTGGGTAGCTCGCTGTTTATTCCAAAATTAACAAAGTAGCTCAACACATTGAGAGGTTGGCGACCACTGTTTTAGAACAATAAAAGAATTTATCAAAAACATGTCCTTACTTATTTGTGGCCCACCCTGTAAAGGAAAAATAATTTTTGACCCTTTTTTATATTCGTAGAATGCCAATAGATGTTACAATAAGATTTTGCACAAAAAATATAATAGATTAGTTTTCTCCCTGAAATAACTGGTATTTCTTAAGTATAACCAGTCATAGGATTTTAATGGTCCCATGAACACTAATGCTCAGGAGGTCGAGAAATGCAATATATCAAAATTTTATGACATTTAACAGGTCGCCACTTTTCCATAAGCGGTGTGCGGGGTCCTTTAATTTCTTCAGTACGGTAAATTATGACAACAATGAACTTTGTTATTGTTACTTATTTATGACGAGTGTCATCCTGCAAAAGCTTCTAAGTTTTAATTTGATTCCAGCGACATCCATTGAACGATATTAACACCTTCTAAGTCGCAGGATGTTAAATAATACTATTTTAAATCTGTTTGTATCAAAACCTCGTAAACAGTAAAAAACGGACTTAGGAGGTTTTGAAAGTAAGCCGACGAGCGTTGCATCGGTATTGTACAGTGAACGATTTCCCTTGAAAAGTGTGGACGACATTGCAGGAACATTTATTGTATCCCTTTTACGTTTAACGTGTTCAAGCACGGTTTCTAAAGAGCTGACTCCTTCTACTGCATTAATAACCTACTTTTCCTTATTCGAATCTCACCTTCGCTATGGTTTACCTTTCTGGGGTTCTTGTAGCTTATACCTTTTCGAATCTATTTTTAAACTGCAAAAAAGAGCAATCCGCTATGTATTTGGTTTAAGTAGTAGGACACATTGCGAAAATTACTTCAAAAATTTCAAAATTCTAACCCTTCCTGCTCTATTTATTTTCGAATCCGTCTGCTTAGTTCGCAAGCACATTCAAAATTTATCCGAAAGACCGACTCGTAGATATCCTACAAGAAATTTAGAGACTGATGTTTATTTAACAATGCCCACTTCTGACCTATTAAAACATTCCATTACCTACAATGCCAAAAAATTGTATAATAACCTTCCGATGCAATTAAAATCTATAAATACATACGATAAGTTCCGAAGACTGGCTAAAGCTTTTCTTCTAGAAAGACCATATTACACAGTAGCAGAATTTTATAACGTACCTTAGACATTTGAGTTCCACATACAATGGCATTAATTAAATAATTAAATATTAAAGTTTAAATTTAAATTTAAAAATTAAATTAGAATAATTATAATGACGGATATTGCATATCCATTGCAATTGTTATTCCTATTTTGTCTGTTTGTTTCTGTTTGTTTTTTCTGCTGTTTAGTTATTTTTTATAATATGTTTAGTATTTAAGTTACACGCTTTGTCTATAAAATTTTTGTAAATTTTTTTACGACAATAAAGCATATCTCTCTCTCTCTTTCTCTCTCTCACTACAACTTAAAGACTTTCCCTGCAAAGTTAAATTTATACACTGTTAAAAAAGTATCAACTTAGGACTAACCCTGTATAATAGCACCGTATTCTTCTGCACAGTTTATCAATCAATAACCTTAAACCATATCCCACATAAAATATAGTATATATAGTGTTAAAATATATTCACCTGTCAAGCATATTAACAACATTTTCATCTTCGCTGTTATGTAGCAACAAGCTGAGGCATTGAGAATGTCCGTTTTTGGCACTATAGTGAACGGGCGTCATGTTATTTACGTAATCAGCTAAAGCCACTTTGGCACCAAAATGCAATAGAAATTGAACACACTGAGCATGACCTTCCCTTGCCGCCAACAGCAAAGGAGTCATTCCTTGATTAGTCCTAATGTTGACGTCAGTAAAATAAGGCATTATCATTTTTAATATATCTATGTTTCCTAGTTTGGCCTAAAATAATAAAAATTAAGATATTCCGGGTGTTGCACATTTTTAACAGGTATTGGGGTCTACTCTGTAACACTTCCTTTATATTTTAACGGCCGTTAAAATATTGGCGGCCTTTAAAAATATTTTTGTATTCACTAACTTACTTCTGTCATTATTTAAACGGATTCCTTTAAAATAGTCCTCAAATAACAATCATTTTTAAAGGGATGTTAAAATTCAAATCTACAAATACACCAAGAAAACTAAGACTTTAATGTCGTTGAAACAGTGTTAGAATCAGTTACAGTCATAATAAATACCCAAGACATCATCCAGTACCTTAGTTGGAAAATAATTGAAAATCCTCATGGCTCCAATCACCTTCCTATAACCTACACATTTGATAGCAGTCATAAATACACAAACCTTATTGACATAAAGTATAATATATGGTCCTTTAAACGAGCTGATTGGAACTTATATTCCACAATTTTGCTTCAGAAAACCCTGAAAGACAATATACTAATCTAATAAATAATATAAATAAGGCAGCTGAAATTTCAATTCCAAAAAAATTAATGAATTCCAACTCACGCATAAATCATTACCCAAAACAATGGTGGGATAATAATTGTGACACAGCTGCAAAAAGATGAAAACAAGCCTTCCTAACCTACAAAGCAAATCCAACTGTTCAAAATCTTATAGAATATAAAAAACTCGACGCTGTAGCTAAGAAAACTTTCAAACAGACTAAGAAACAACAATGGATAAAATACTGCGAAAGCCTAAATCAAATCACCCCTATCAAAGAAGTCTGGAATAAAATCAGTTCATTTAAAAATAGAAAGAAATGCAACACATTGCCAACAGACCTTAATGCAGATTGGATCGAAGTATTCCACTGACGGATTTCAACACCATAGATACCAAATCCCCACATCTCTGTCAAGACTTGATGACTAGCGTTCCCAGAAATAAATTAAACTTATTAAAACACTTTGAAATGTGGGAGGTCGAGCGAGCACTAAAGCAAAATAACAATAACAAAGATATCGAATCTACCAAAAGACCAAAAAATATCTCTTCTACAGATATGTAACTCTGTTTGGATGGGCCATAGCGTAATACCCGAAACTTGGAAAGAATATATCGTTTTGCCTATATTAAAACCAAGTAAAGAACCAGATAATCCAAACTCCTATCGACCAATTTCCTTACCATCATGCATGTTTAAAACATTTGAAAGACTTATTAAAAATAGAGAGAGAAAATATTTTACCGGAATCACAATATGGGTTTAGGAAATCTAAATCTACCTTTGAAGCTTTAACATCATTAGTAGATATAAACTCAGCCTTTGACAACGTTAATCTTGAAACTTTATTCTTAAAGCTGATTTCCATTGGCATCCCAACACAAATCTCCTTTCTGATAACATCCTTATATTCAAATAGACTAACCTACTCAAAGATAAATCAAGTACTCTCAACTCCTCGTTACACACATCTAGGACTCCCACAAGGGAGTATATTAAGCTTAACAAAGCCATCTTCAAAATATAGTTCATTATGATGTCACAGAGTTTGGGTCTCCTCCCAGTTTCCCCACTCCATTAACCTTTCTTTAGAAATTGGCAACATTCGCGCAGGTTAAACATCGCTTTATGTTACATCTCTAGTCTTTTTTATCTAAGAATTAAATTAATTTATACAAGTGGATTGTAGGCAACCAATTTTACATTTGAAAATTTAAAATACAAACGGCCGTAAATATGTTTGAAATTGTTTTATTAAGGGTAATATACCAAGACCTTGATAACAGTCAGCTATTTTTGTTGAATCTAAATCTCGAGAATATTTTAATATCAATTTGATGAGACATAATTTTAATCAATTGATTATTAATGCCAAAATTATGTAGAATCAAATTGTAAAATATTCGAGAAATTTAGCAATAACAAAAATAGCAGAATATTAATCAATGTCGCGTTATATTTGGGACGACTATTTCACTAGACCAAATATCGACCATTTCTCTAGAGAAATAGTCGCTGATATTTAGTCTAGGGAGATAGTCAATATAATCTCCCCGAATACAAGCTGCCTGTCTCTTATTAAAGTAAAACATTAGTAATTTCATATAGAAATTCTGCATAAGGCTTATTGAAAGTAATAATAGTAAAATTAAAAATCAATACTTACAGCAAGGTGTAAAGGTGTAATATCTACTGAACATTTACTAAGCAATTTTTTTATGTCATCTGTTTCTTGTTTTTTTTGTTCGGCTGTTTGTTCGTTTTTCAATAACCTCCTCACGCCATTGACATTTCCTCCAGCTATTGCATAGTGTAAAGGGGTGAATCCTAAAATACTTATAGTTGTATTTTATGTCGGTCTATAAGCAAATCTATTTTTACTGATTAAACGAAAAAAATCAATTGAGTTAAGAAATACGAAGTAACACGGAGCAAGAGCCGAAGCTCCTCTCCAAGAAGAAATCAATCGGGAGAAAGCGACAGATATGGTGTACTTGTTAGTTAAAATTAATCCGTACGTTGGCGACTGCCGACTGGTAATAACTAGAATATTTTTCAACTTATAAGGACCAAGCTGTGATGAAATGGGTAATTGACCGATATATATTTTATTATTGGAGATATGAAGAAATGTTTAATATAAAAGTTGTAAGACCACATTTTACAATTATTCTTAAATATATATATATAAATGAGGGGAAAACCAAATAGATATTTTTTTAAACCAAACACCCTGTAGGTAGTTACGCCTTACAGATTTGGTTTAGTCGGAGAGCTAGTAACACAAATTTCATTAAGTGTTTGATGTACTTTGAAATTTTGTAATTTGAAATCATTTGGATGGAAAAGCAGATATACCTGTGTTGGCTAGACCCACCCCGGGACGCGTAAATAGAAAAGCTACTTCAATACGTCCCCCAAGCAGTGACCAACTAGACTAGGGTTTTTATGGGTTATTCGTGCAGAAAACCTACTTGAATATAGCCCCGGATGGTGCTGTATTGGACTAGGATTTTCCGGTTTATACGCGGCGTAATATTGTGTAATTGCTACTTTAGTACGGTAAGTGTTTCTTTAGTGGTTATGTTTGATTATGTTTATAATACGTGGCCGCTCGGTATTCGGTTGTTTATAAAGAAAAAGTGAATTAACAATATACCCTACCAATAAAATGGACGAAACTATTAAAACATTACTTAGTGCAATATTAACTGACTATCGAATCGTGAAAATGGACGGTCAAAGTGACGAAAGTTATACTGTGTCTTTTCAATGCAAGTTGAGTGGTGAAAGCTATGATGAAAAATGTGATAAGTTTATGCAGGCTTTTTCCAATAAGACAGCGAGCAATTGGGTTGTTAAGAAATGCATTCGTGAGGGACAACGATTTGAATTTCGTAAACGGTATTTATGCCATCTTTCATTTAAGAATAAGGCAAAAAATAAAAAGAATGGAGAAACGCGTAACTACAACTATCATGCAAATATCAGCATAAAATTTTTGAAACAAACACATAACACTTTAAAGAAATCCAAATTACTTAGAAAAGGATTACACGTTTTAATAGACATACATTATGTACATAGTCACAGATTGCACGTTGCTCAGGCTAACAACCTTTTACATTGCAATGATGACGTCAAGGCGTTATTTGTCTCATATTTTGAATCAGGAATGACTCCTGCAGCAGCGAAAATATTCCACGAAATGGAATTGGCTCAAAATGTTGATTTGGGGATGCTTAGCAAATACTCAAAAAAACCCTACGGAAACACAAGTTAACTATTTATATAAAAAATGGCGAAATGAACGCTACGGTGAAAGAGATGTGAGTAGCGTGATTGAAATTTTAAAGAAGAAGCAAGCCGATCTTTCGGAAGGCGAATTATATATAAGGGAAGATCCTACTATTGTCGTTATTATCACGCCTATTATGAAAAGATTGTTTTTAGGTGGATTTGCAAATGAAATATTATTTACAGATTCTAGCTCATCATGTGACCAGAGCAATATAAGTGTGTCCTTTTTTTTCGTTCCTACCAAAGTAGGCGCGGCACCAGTCGCAGTAGCTTTCCACACAGGTCAAAGTGAAATAAATTATTTATTGGTGTTTAATGCCGTGAAGGAAGCATTAGAAAAAATACTGAATTATTATTTTCGCCTCCAGTTATAATGACTGATAATTCAACAGCAATGCGAAATGCTCTTAAAGTGGTATTTCCGAATAGTACTTTATTTCTGTGTATTTTTCATGTAACCCAGGCGCTATGGCGTTGGCTCTGGTTAAAAGACAACAACATCCCAAAAGAAAATCGCAAATTAATAATGAACTTGTTTAGCGAAATTTTGTTTTCCAGTACCGAAGAAAACGCTAATGATTGTTTTACAAAGATGAAAGACCATGATGCTGTAAATACCAACCCAAAACTTATGAAGCATTTAAGAAATTTGTGGGAGAGACGCAAAGAATGGGCGTTAGGTTTTCGATGATTTACGGTAAATAGAGGACACAATACAAATAATAATTGCGAGGCTTCTATAAGAATTTTTAAAGATATCGTCCTTCAGAGGTGTAAAGCCTTCAATATGTGTGTTTTGGCAGATTTTGTGCTTAAGACATTTGAAATATATCACAGAAAAAGACCGCTACATTTTGCTAATTCGAGATCCCGAAAAATGACACTGGACTATCAGAAATTTTTTGAAAAATCCAAAAATATAACCGAAGTTATACATACACGGGATGTGATTATAACCCTAAATTTTTTAAGAAGACCTAAAAAAACCATTCCAAATTATTTAAAACAATTTGGACTATCAAAAAGCACTCGCTGACCTTGGAAAATCAGATGTCCCGGGATTACAATATGAAACGTTTGCAACGCTTTAAAAAATGTGTCTGTGAGTTATACGGCTACAAAAACATTGCATATATAGAAGTTTTGCTCTACATATAAATCGAAAAACACAAATGAACCTTTTCAAAAAACTTTGCTCAATTACGACGCATCCAATTTACCACCGTGCAAAGCTGAATTACACCATCACCTTTTACGGACTCAATATATTACAAGTATTTGGCGAAACGCTCACCTGTGTACTCCAACATCTCTGTTACCTGGAAGACAAGGTTGGACTCTAAAAGATGACAGATATGAGTTTAAATGGTTTGAGGGTGATTGTATGCCAAAAACTGTTTTAGATGCTATTAAAACTGGTTCAAGTACCGAAAACAATTCTAACAACGAAGGTTTGTATTTTATAATTATTTTCTTTTCCTACATATCATGTCATTATGTAAATTATGTTTGGTTTTTTTCAGATAATGAACGGACTTCTTATGATGAAGACGTGTTTTCGAGTGATGACTCGACAGAAGAACTATCAGAGGATAGTGGTGATGAGGACGAAGATTAAAGATACTTTTCTAGACATTTTTATAAATTATACTTGTAACAAATATTTTTAAAAACAATAAACCAATGATATTTACCATACATACTATTAGTGGAACGTTTAATGATAACCTCACAGTCTCCTTTTTTTTTATTCGAAAAGCTTTAAATTAAAATTGTTTAATATTGATTTTTATCATTATTACTTAATTGTATTAATTTTTAATCTTGAGAGATTAAAAGTTTAAACATAAGTCATCTAAATAAATGCATTTTTTTATTATACTCCGAAATATGAATTTAAAATATACAACTGTAAAAATACACGTGACCAATAGCCAATAGAGAAAGACTGTAGTAACGGCGGTGATCAGCGCTCTCACTCACACCTACAGCCATACGCAACCTATCTCTTTCTATAGTAAATAAGACTTATTTTTATGTTGGCCGGCAATTAAACCCCGAAAAAAGTGTCTGCCTTTTTGGAATTATTTTTTTTTATATTTAATTAAGACGCTATTAAAATTGCAGCGTGAATCAAACACTTCAAATCATATTTAAAAAAAAAAAAAAAAAAAAAAACAACTTTGGAGTTGATTTATTAATTATAAACCCTCTCAAAAGTGTCTGCCTAAATTACTAGTATTTTTAGAATTACTTAAACTTTCAATTGTTGTTTGTTGGCCTCTGAATCAAACGCTTTTTTTGGGTCATATTTTACGACCCCTTTCTATTATGCGCAGTACCTGGTGTCCCGGGGTGCGTCTAGCCAACACAGGTATATCTGCTTTTCCATCCAAATGATTTCAAATTACAAAATTTCAAAGTGCATCAAACACTTAATGAAATTTGTGTTACCAGCTCTTGGACTAGTTGTTTTTACATCGTTTTATAATTTTAATAGACTAAACGTTCCAAAAAAAATTTAACATTTTCATTCATTTGCTGTGATGAGTTTAAACTTGAGGTTACGATATTCTCAATTTTTTCAAATATAAATCCTGTGTGTTATACCACCAATTTATAAATTAATTTCTTTACTTTTTCATTTTGTTTGGCATTCTATTCCCAAACGAATTTTTTCTCAAGATTTTGACGGTTTTACCATGAAAATTTTCACATTTTTCTAATTGGCTTTTGAAAATATTTGAACTTATTTAGGGTAAAATGCTAATGTAATTTTTGGTACCCCATTTGTCAGAATTAATGAATGATTTTCTGTTTCTTCGACGTTACAATATGAACCATTGTAAATAACATTTTATCAGTTAGGTTTAAGAATGCCAAACAAAATAAAAAGTAAAGGAACTAAATTATTAGTTAATTCAATTTGTGTTACAGGGTATGCTATTCAAAGAAAATCGTAATCTTGCGTTTCGACACACCCTATACAGGGTGTCCCGAAATTAGACGGTCATATTTTAACAGCGTAATCTACATCTTAAAATAAGAGTAAAAGTTCATATAAACATAGGTCCGAAAACGTTTCTTTTTCGAGATACAGGGTGTTAAAAGTGAAGTCCTGATGACACACTTTTGTAAATATTGTCTAATCGTTTAAAGATAACAAAGTGAAATTTGGTACAAATGCTTACCTTTTTACGCTCTATTTAATAGACTAAACCCCAGTTTTTGATCATCTTCATAGGTTGGTAAATTAGGGGGGCTTAGGGTAAAGTTGCCCTAAGTTTTTTTTGTTGAGTTTTTAAAATTGTTCACTATAAAATTTGGAAAACCAATGTTTTCTTTATAATAAAGCTACTTTTGTTGCATCTCGCTAGGACGCACCATTTTCAAGAGAAAAGCATTTGACAATTTCATGATAAGTTGATGTAATCTTATTCGAAAGTGTAAACAATAATTAGTAGGCCTGTGGAATCAGAAATTTTATTTTTTTTTTAACTTTGGAAAACCGGTGATTAAAGAAATTTTAGAAAATATTTACAAAAATGTGCCATCAGGAGTTCACTTGTAACACCCTGTACCTCAAAAACGAAACGGTATCGGACCTATGTTTATATGAACTTTTACTCCTATTTTAGGATGTAGATTACGCTGTTAAAATATGACCGTCTAATTTCGGGACACGTACAACGTAGCAAATGAATGGAAAGTTAAAACATTTTTATAATCGTTGTCTATTAAAATTGTTTGACAATATGAAAACAAATAAATTTGTTATACAAGAGGGTTTTATTTTAAAAACTTTTTCCACTACTCATTTATGAACTTTCCAGTATAATTAAGAATAATTTTAAAATGTGGTCGAACAACTCAAAAATGTTTTCGTATCTTCAATAATAAAACAGCTATCGATCAATTACCCACCCTGTATATGTATAATAGGCTAACATGATGGTATCGTTAGATATGTAAATGTATATTGAATTTAATGCTAAAATGATATACAGGGTGTTGCATTCAAATTGAGTAAAATGAAGTTAAAATAAGTCATATTTCAAAACCGTCTATATAAAATAAACTAGTTCTATCATGTCTATTCGTTAGTTTGGTATCTTATAAGCCTGTATTTTAAATAATGTTTAACTCATTGATAAGCTACTTAAATTCTGATTTATTTGGGGTCTGTATCACTTTATATCACAAAAAATTAATTGCTTGGCAAAAATATTCTAAAGTTCAATACAGTATTACCTAAGAATTCTAAAACTGAGATAAAATACAGTGTTCCATTTAACAAATATATCTTTTTACTTTCCAAGCAAAAGCGTAACACACTGTATATCTAAAAATATTTTTATATTGTGTTTTTCAAATCCATATAACTTTTATTATAGACTTCTTTGCGTGTCTTTGCCTTGCAATGTTAAATTCACAAACATAATAACGAAACCAAATTCATAATGTACTAATTTAAGAATGCTTTCACATTCCTACGGGGTTATAAAAGCAATTCACTGCATGGCGGCTTGTCTACATTCATCGTAGCATACATCTTCAAATGACGTTACAAAACGTCATGGGCATGGGGGAAAGAACTATCATGACGTTAATGAACGTCATGGGCAGCGAAAGTGTTTTAAAGTGTTACACAGAGAAAAATCTTTTTTGCAAAAAAAATATTAGATGGGAGATGTTCCCATAAATAAGGTATTCAAAGTTGGATGTCTACTAATGCGAAATTATTATTTCGACTATTCCAAAGTCCACATTTATCAATTCTAGAATAATTCGGCAAGTGGCACTACCATAACGAAGGTACCATATGTGCATCGAAGAATCGACACCGAAACATATTCTAACAAAAAAAATTTTTGAAAAATAATTTTTAGAATAGCGTTTAAAGAATATATTTGACAAAACTTGTTGCATTTGGTTTTCTATCATTTAAGTTAATAACTGGCCCTAAAAAAAATATGTATATCAAATAAATACCTCTATTATCTTTCATAGCAGGATCAGCTCTATGGTCCAATAGGTAATCCACACATTTGCCATCAAGATCATAAGCTGCGGCTAAATGGAGAGGTGCACAACCTTCTATATCTATATCATTAACCGAGCTTCCTATTCCAACCAGTGTAAAAACGCACTGATAGTGACCTTGAGAAGCTGCATAGTGAATCGGAAGACGTTGTAGGTTATCAGTTATTTTAAACTCAGCGCCATTGCTGACAAGTAAATCCAGGCACTCATAAGACCTGAAAATGTAATTTTTTAATCGTAATGAAGTGCACAATTAACTAGGCCGCTTAGACAGAATTTAAACAAATATGGTTTTATTTTAAATATATGTTTTCTAATTATTGGCGATTATCTTAGATTACAATAAATCTCTACGTAAACGACAAGGTAAAAACACATTAGGCGTCCATTGGTTAAAAAGAGTGTGAGGCTCGATCTTACTTTCTGTGATTTATTTTCAATAGGCTATATCAAAAAGAAAAAGTAACTAAACTGATAACTACAAACAAAAACAAAGGAGATAATTAGGTAATATTTTAAAATATAGACAAATAAATAGAGGGGACAAAATGGAAAATATTTGGAATACTATCTCTAATACCAAGTTCTGCAAACAAAAGAACGTTTTTTTTTTTAATAACATTTTTATTAAAAAATTATATTGATGAGTTTTTTTTTATAAATTTTTATTATTGTCTGCAAGTAAACCAGTTAATAACTTATCTTGCTTGTTTTTGGTCATAACTATTAAATATATGTGACAAAAACACCATTTATGCACTTGATATAAAGAATGGGCCAAACTTCAGATGTGTTTAGCTTGAACAAATATAAGTTCTTTCAAGCCAATTTACCTTAGTAGAATTTTGCTTGCTTAAGAACTTACAGGGTGGAGAAAATTTTTTTTTTCAATATTTTACGATAATTCAAATATTTTTTTAGTAAATAAATCCAACTTTTGTCAAAGTAAGTTTTTTTTGGGTAATACAAACGAATACCAGCTTTTTTTGTATTACATGTATAGACCGTTCTAAAGTGGCGTGCCAATTTAGTATTTACCTCAGATTTTTTTAAGAATGTGCAATTTTGAAAAAAATTTATTATTTTGAAAAGGCGTTCAATTTTCTTTAAAAAATGTATACTTGTTGCATGTCGCTAAAATGCATCATTTGAAGGAAAACTTAATTTAAAGTTAGTACTGCAAATGTATGGATTATTCCAAAATTTCTCATTTTGATAATTTTAAATCTAAAGATAATACATAAATAATAACAAATTAATTCAGAACTTTATTAAATATTTAGTAGATACTTTAGCAGATCAAATAAGTTGTACTCGAGGAAATGTAAGTAATCATTTCCATTTTGCTGGAAGTTCAAAAGGTCCTATAAATTATCTCCGACTATACAAAAAAAAATTGTTTAATTTAAATTCGTGCTGAAAGTGCCGCACTCTCGTATTGTTTGGATTTTTTACAGCACATGTGTGAGCATTTCTGTAATTGAAAATTCCTCTTATCAATGAATAGAATTTTATTTACAAAAAATGGATCTTATCTATTTTTATTTAAGACAAGCTGACTAAAATATGTTCTTCCTAAAAGATCATATGGCAGTAGATTTTGGACTGGAGTTTAAATGGTAAAGGTATAATTGTTGTTCATGTAAAATGTTAGACACAGAACCCTGACATAAACCAACATTGGCAGATATACGAGGGATACTTGTTGCTGGGTCATCTTCAACAAGATTTAATACCTCTTCCTCCTGCTGTAAATCTCGAACCATAGATCGTTGATTGACTCTTTTTGTGCGAAAGCTTCCGGTTTCTCTTAATCTGCTGAATAGACATGAAAACAATTTTCGGTTAGGCTGTCTACGATTAGAATACCAATCTGTGTAACTTCTTGATGAAACGCGTGCATTAAAACCTTGTTGGGCATAAACTGATATCATATTGGTCATTTCACTGTTTGAGGAAAAATTATGTCGCAATATTGTATAAAAATTACGAATTTTATCGCTCAAAACTCTGATGCTTATATGTAAGACCACAGATTTGGATAGAGGAGATAGGAAAAGGCCGTTTTCCCCGGTGTTTCAAAATAATCACACCATGTAGGCCGCCATATTGACAATTTAAGCGTACAACGCACATGCGCAGTTGTTGTAGTGTTTTGACAGAAGTGTCATTTATGTCAACTATTCTTGGTTTCTTTCGAAATTCGCTATTTTAGTGAATTTAAAAGAATTTTAGAAGTTTTTACTATAGACAATTAATAAAATGGGAAAGACTTGCTTTGTTTTTGGTTGTTTAAACAACGAGGATTCAGAAAACATTACATTCCACAAGTAAGACTTCATTTCTACCAGAACCGTATTCTTCACCACAGTTTCATTTTCTAGAAAACGAAATATCATAGTACAATAACAAACTGTATGTAGGTATCTAACGTTGATATTACTATAATTTTTTTAGATTGAGGAAAAGGCGTATGCTTCTTGGTTAATAGCTATTGGAAAATATAAGTGCAAATAACGCTATTTGTTCCTCCCATTGTCATAAAGATAATTTAATCGTTTCAAAACGAATAGATACAATAAAAAAATAACGCAATACCTTCCATAAATATGCCTAAAATTGAAGATTTTTATAACATTAGTGCTATGAGGTAAATATATACATAAAATTATCAATTTGTTTCTTTTTATACTTTTTAAGAAAGTGATAAAAAATTGTTAATTATCCCTATTATTTTTAGAAATTTACAACCTTCAGCTTGAACGAATATTATTAATTCAGAATCTAACGAGGAATTATAGATGTTGCCAGTTGGTTATTTTTTATTAATGGTTTAGATGGTAATGAAAGAAGAAATGTGGCGTTATAGGCTCTTCTAAAATTGCATGAATATGGAGTTATCATCACCTAATTATCATTTCATGGATAACATTAGGTGTAAACCTATACAACTTTGATATTGACACTGCGACTCCATATTTCTTGCATTCACCATAGATAAAAGTACATTTTTTATAATTTTAGATGCATGTCACATACTTAAATTGGCTTGGAATAACTGGGATAACCTTACTAAAATTGTTGAAACTAATGGCGAAATTATTGATTTTAATTATATAAAATTGTTGCATTATATTTAACAAACAGAAGGTTTATGTTTGGGTAGCAAATTAAGAGTGCCCCATATGGATTGAAGAAAGACATGAAGGTTTGTACACTTAAACGAATTTAGAAATTACAAATACTAAGTAACATTACTATTAATTGTATAAGGAAATTTGAGAAACTGTTCTATTTACTAAATTATCGAAATCTTTTTAGATTTCAATGGAAAATGCCTTTGTCTCAAAAAACGGAGACTATATGGATGTCTGAAAGATAAGCTGCAACAGAATGTATAAAGAAACTTAAAACCTTTGACAGCAGTTATGTGATTCAGTGACCGAAGAAGAATAGTGGTGTTCTAGACTTTGTTTTATAAAGTTTGTACTAGGTTTATATGACAAATATGTAAACTGTTAATATATAAACTTAGTACAGATCACTTAGAGCTATTTTTCTGCAGTATATGGAATAGTATTAGTTTAATTGTTTGATGCAATTACATTTTATTTCTAGGGCTAGGTATGGATGGAACAATAATCCTTTATCTGTAAAAATTTTCCATTCATATAGACTACGATTAATTCTGTACCATGACATTAAGAATCTTAATGGCTATTGTATTCTTTAGGACCCCATCAACATTTTACAAATGACACTAAATAGTACAACAACAGTGCTTATAGTTTATTACTACTCTTACTAAATATAACTGAGAGAAACTTCAGAAGATTCAAAATTCTTGTATAAGATGTACTTGTAATATTCCTTATAGAAATCATGTTTTTCCGTACATTCGCAGGTTAAATAATTATAAAATTTAGGAAAGCGTAAAATATCTTTTTTTTAATGTTTAAAATTCCACGATATCTTACTAAAAAGATCAACTTTACACAATGTAAATTTAAGAGTGAACACTTTTACAACCCCAATGCATAGAACTTCAAAATTCCAAGGTTGTTTTAGATACGTAGCACCATTATTGTTAAATGAAGAACTTAATAATTTGAATTTTAATCATTTTGTTAAGACTATTAGGCAAGTTCTTATTTCAAGACAATGATTTAATTTAAAATAATTATTTTGTGAACATTTTTTCTGTTATAATGAGGATCAATTGAAAAACGGCTCATAATGTATTTATAGTTGCTCAATAAACATTATTTATTTATTTAAATATAGTCAAAAAATGTACGGTATCTTAAGCCGACGCATCAGGCGTAATAAAGATGAGACGCTTAATTGTATTTGGATGTGAGAGCGATAAAGATAGTAATTGATTTTACCATACCCTTTCGATGGCAAGCATGGGCTGTTGCGGTCCACACTCATTCGTATTATTTTATTTCTCTCTATTCAATGGCATTGTGTTCCATACCTTTTTCCTGGAGCCAGGATGGAAATGTTAAATTATTGTATTATACAGAATGTAATTAAGTTGTTAGATATTTCAGAAAACATTGTTTATATTGCAAAAAAAAATGATAAAATATTCTGCTGGCCAAGATACACTTTCTAGCGCAACACCTAATAAAAATTATTGAAAATTATTTTTTAGGACAAAATAGGGTAATATAGAACAGTTTCGGCTGTAAGTACTAGTGTAAAACTGTCGAATTATCTTAAAAAAAAGTATTTTTAATCACATAATCAATTACCTGCTAAAAAATGTTCATTTTCAATTAGTTTAAAATAAAAACTTGTTTCGAGAAATCAATAATTATAATTATCTACCCTTATAGGAAAATCACATATCAAGATTAATAAAAACATTAAAGACATTGTTCAAACCCCAATGATAATTTAAAAAACTAAATTTGTATTTTTTGTTCCTCATTAACTTTTATTAAATAGCTTTTTTTTATTTATAATTTATTAGTGCCATTTTCTAATGTAATATAAATGTTTTATGTTCAATAACCCAATATTAACATATATTTACTGTAGTATTTATTACACAAGATAAAAAAGTAAAACCCTTCGCACTGGCAAAATCGAAGCTTTGTTACTACTTATTCTCTCACAACCTCCGTCTGTGTAAGCGGGTGAATTTACCGCCTTTTCAGATTCCTTTAGTGACCGAAATCGAGAATGTCTATTTCTTGCTGATGAG